ACTGTTAAATGAGAAACTATTTTATTCTGTAAGCCTTCATCTTAAGTGAGAATAACAGCACAATTGGAAGAGCATAGTCAATGTCACTGAACTGTGTATGTAGAAATTTTTGAAACGGTGTACCTTTGGCTATGTGTATTTTCACCAAAAAAAAAGGTTGAGAAGTTAGAGGGTTAATATGTTGTGAAGTTGTTAACCAATGTCATAAAACAACATGTGTATTACTGTTTCATGAGAAACTATTTGTTCTGTAAGCCTCACCTGAAGTACAATAAAATATTAAAAAAAAGAACAACAAAAAAAAGTCAAGAACAGATATACACACAGAAAGCAAAGTTCTTTGATGGTTACCAGGGATGGTAGGGACAAAGGGGAAAATAAGTTTCTAGATAGTAGACACTTGTTACTTTTGGTGATAGGAAAGGCATTCCCCAATATGGGTGAAGTCAGCACAACCTGACCAAGGTGAATAAAGGAACTAAGACATATACGAGAAAAATGGACAATATTAGTAAATGCTATAACATACACAATTTTTACAAAAACAGTAAAAACCACCAAAAAATATGTGTATGGTTACATAGGTAGACATGGATGCACATATGTATACAGGAAGGCACATGTGAGTAAATGTAGGCATATGTATACATACATTTGTGTGTGCTACATATATAACCACATATATAACAAACCACAGACGCAGCAGAGTTATGGAGGCTTCCCAGACATACCAAAACAACTTGCGGGATTGGTTCACTGGGTCAAAAGGCTTGGGACCATAGTCTTGCAGGACAACTTAGTCAAATGGCATAACATAGTGCACAAAGATAATGTTCTACAATTGAATTTGGTGAGCAGCATCTAGGGTCTTAAAAGCTTGTGAGCAGCCATCTAAGATACAACTATTGGTGTCTACTTGTCGGGAGCAAAAGAGAATGAAGGAAATCAAAGGATCAGAGAAGAAACTAATCCTTGGGACCAACAGCCCAAATGAACCACAGCCTCCTCTAAACTGAGGCCAGGGGAACTAGATGGTGTCCAGTTAACCACTACCAACTGTTCTGACCAGGGACACAATAGAAAGTCCAGATAGAATGAGAGAAAATGCAGAACAAAACTCAAATTCCTAAAAGAGGCCAGACCTACTGAACTGATAGAGACTAGAGGAATCCCCAAGACTACTGCCCTAAGATACGCTTTGAACCTGGAATTGAAACTAAAATAATAGATTGGATTATAAAATAAACAATACCACCTGTGAGTAATGTGCTGCCTTTAAAAATTAACTATATGAGATCAAATGGTCAGGAGTTACCCAAAAGCAAAGATGAGACGGCAAGAACGGGAAGGGAAGCTAGATCAATGGAAACAGAACAATCCAGATGACAATAATGAGAATGCCGACACATTGTAAAAACTGTAACCAATGGCACAGAACAATTTGTATAAAAATTATTAAAGAAGAACCTAATTTGCTGTGTAAAGTTTCACCTTAAAAACAATAAAATATTATTTAAAAAAAAAAAGATTAGATGGAATATATCATATCAATGTTAATTACCTAATTTTGATAGTTGTATGGTGGTTCTTGTTTATAGGAAATATATTCTACTTGTTCATAGGAAATATTTTCTACTTTCTAATACAGTAGCCACTAGCCACATATTGAGCACTTAAAATGTGGCTAGCCTCAACTGAGATGTGCTATATGTGTAATATACACACTAGGTTTCAAAGACTCGGAATGAAAAAAGGATGTTGAATACCTTATTAATATTTTTATATTGATTACCTGTTGAAATGACATTTTAGATATATTTGGCTAAATAAAATACATTATTAAAATTAATTACACTGCTTCTTTTTACCTTTCCAATATTTCTACTAGAAAATTTAAAATTACAATGTAGCTTGCATTCCATTTCTATTGGACAGCACTTCTCAAAAGTATTTTAGGGTGACAGGGCATCAGGCTGGCAATTTACTTTCAGATAGATTGAGAAAAAAATTCTTTTCACTGTACTTCCAGCTTTTCTGTTAAGTTTGTGACTGCTTCAAAAAATATATATTGAAAAAAAGTCCCTGCTTTTCAGAAACTAAGACTAGGAGATACAACTGTGTCAACACAAAATGTTAAATTAATACAATAAAGTAAGAGCTAAAGTAGACGTATGTGGAAATGCAGCTGAGAGAGAAAGAAGAACGGCAGCATACAGAAGAAGTGGCTGGCTGCCTAATGATGCAAGTGGTAAACAGGGGAAAGAGCTAGAGTGAAATTTTACAGGGAAAACTGTCTGAATTTATAATTGTTTATTATTAGGTTTGTATTTTTAAGTGCACAGAGTAACCGGAACTGGGGTTCTTTTTTTTTGGGCCATGGTCCTCTTTGAGAGTCTGGTGACGCCTATGAACTCCTTCTCTCAATAACTTTTTTAAATGCATAAAACAAAATAAGATGATTACAAAAAAATCAATTATATTGAAATACAATTATCAAAATATTAAAAAGATATGATACAGCAGTACATGTGATTTCATTAAAATGTATACTTCTTTTAGAACAGTTAAGACTAATGGAGGGTCTAATAGCCATAATTATAAAATACTGACGTGCATAAATGATGTTTCAGGATATTTAAAGCAACCATAATGTGGTATTAAAAGATCTGGATTTTTATTGGTGAAAAAGTCACAGATATTACTAATACTGTGGCTTATTGTCTACATTATAATTCAACTAGAAGTTAGTGAACATAAAGATGTAACTTTTATTCCATTCTAATTCACAGACACTCTGAATCCACGGATCTCTTGAGGGTGAAGGGAAGGTGGTTCAGGGACTAGGCCTAGGTTTAGAATACATGAATTAAAACTTAAAAGGAGTTTCTCAAATACCAGTGAAGCAACTTGTACTCTTTATACTCGTTTCCACTACTGCTTAGCAAGCAGTTTGAAAAGTAGAGAATGCAGGTGATCACTTGTCTACATCATCACATTTATGAAGAATGGAGTCTCCATTAATGTTTTACTGCCCTTAAAACTGCACATCGATATATGTAACAGTGCATGGTAATAAATTAACAAATCTGAAGACAAGTCAGTATCTAACAGCAAAAATCATAAAGGTTCTATAAAATGGGACTACTCTTACCCATACAGGCCAAACTATAAAATGCTAAGCTCTGATATTATGATTAAGAATTATGACACTGAATTATCTCTGAACTTGTAACTGATCAAATTTTATGTACGTTGAACCTTATGAGAAAAAGATTACCTATTTACAAGAACATCTGGCAGATGTAATTAAATGATCAAAGGGATGATAAATTAGCTGTTTCAAACACATGTAACCAGGTTATTGAATAGCCATTTGATGTATCTACACATCAACAAATTTCTTTTGAAATATGAATGCTGACTCTAAACTCTCAATTTAGATGTTATCTGATATAAGTTTTATGTTATTCACACTGGATATTTCTGCGTTGAAAGTCTCACTCACATAGGGTTGCTATGAGTTGGAACTTACTGGACAGCAATGGGTGTTTTCTTTGGCTGGGTTAAAAGCAATAGGAATTAAAATTGCTAAAAGCAGAGCTCAAAATATAAGGATATTTCATTAAAGTCTCATCCAAAAATCAACATTAAAAGAATCAAGAACAGACCAAACCTTCTTACTGCTCTCGGGTAGAAGGGAGGGGAAAAGAGGGAGACGCTGCTTAGGAAGCACTGAGTTTCTGTGAACAGTGGAGGGATCGTCTGTAAAAGGACAGTGGTGGTAATGGTCTCACAACATGCTGAACATAATCAACGTCACTGAACTATACATGTGAAAACTGCTGAACTGGTGAATGTTTTGTTTTATATATATATGTACATATATATACATACACACACCATAATAAAAAAAAAGAATCAAGAATATTATCACAATTTGAAATAAATATTAGATTTGTACACTTAATTGTATCAATTCTAAAAATGCTGTCAGCTGTCAAAATCTCAGTACCTTTCCTCTGCTTAGCTATTTTAATGAAGTCTAATAGTTAACTAAAACTTAATAAAAGAATAAAACAAATTTATCCTACCTAGTTACTTTGCAGTTTGATTCAATCAAGTCATTTTCGAAGTCAAGAAGGCTGGAAGGCAGATTATATTCCAATGGGGATGTCAGTCTTTTCAAACGTAATAAACCAGCACAAAATTTTGCTCCCATCTCTTCCAATTCACGAGTACCAATTTGTAAACCCTAAAATAAAGCAGTATTACACATATAATGAGAAAGTGTGTGGTCCTTTAGCAGCACCACATTTAAATTATAAACTAAAAGGAATTGATAACTGTATTAATAAAATAAAAAGTTTGGTGCTTTGTATGAAACTAGGATTCAACAAGCAAAATTTCTTAAAAATATAAGATTATTCTAGGTCACAAAGGAAACAAACTGTGCTAAAAGACCTTTCCTAAAAAGTCTATTCTCATTCACTGCAATGCAAACTATTTTCACCACATTCTAGAAGGAAAAAAAAAAAACAGATGAAGATTTTGTGATAATGCTGCTCCTGGAGGTCATGTGTGAAACTATATTTTAACAAAATCCTGCAATCTACCACTTTGGATGTTAAAAATAAAGCTCCAATATGTATACTTGCATGTTACCTTATAGATATTTTTACTGTATGATAAAAGAAACTGTAAGTAAAAATAAACAAAAAAGCTATGAATATCATATTTTAAAAAAAGAATCAAACAAATATGTAAATAAGGTAATAGTACAATAAGTAACTATGTTCCATGTCAATTGAGACTATAGCAAAAAGAAAATTTTACCACAATCCCCTTACCCATTTTTCAACCAACAGCTTCTCAGTAAATAGTATGCTGCTGTTGTTGTTAGGTGCCATCAAGCAGATTTTCAACTCGTATCAACCCCAGAATAGAACTGCCTCATAGAGTTTTCTAGGCTGTAATCTTTATGGGAGCAGATTGCCAGGTCTTTTCTCCAGTGGAGTTGCTGGTGGGTTTCGAACCATCAACCTTTTGGTTAGCAGCCGAGAGTTTAACCATTGCACCACCAGGGCTCCTTACAGTATGTTCCAGGTATTCCAGGAGATGCTACCTAACCATGTTTATTACAGCATTCATTTGTCATCTCAATTTAAAAGCTTTAGAAAGTGTATGCCTATTTCTGAATTAGTTTAGAAAATAAAAATAAAGAACATTTATAGCCTAAAATTCGATAACATGAAAATATGAGCGTGAAAAAGAACTGCTTCTTAAAATATTATTAGACTCACACAGCTTATTAGCATTAACTGATTTAAAAAGTATATATTGAGATAAAAGCCTTGAATTTTAGATGTAAAAAACTTGGTTCAATCTAGCTCAATTAGCATAACATAGTTTATAAAGAAAATGTTCTACATTTTACTTTGGTGAGGAGCGTGTGGGGTCTTAGAAGCCTGTCAGCAGCCATCAAGATACTCCACTGGTCTCACCCCTTCAGGAGCAAGAGAGAATGAAGAAAACTAAAGATGCAAAGCAAAGATTAGTCCAAAGGACTAACGGACCACAATTACATGGCCTCCACCAGACTGAGTCCAGTACAGCTAGATGATGCCCGGCTACCACCACTGACTGCTCTGACAGGGATCACAATAAAGGGTCCCAGACAGAGCTGGAGAAAAATGTAGAACAAAATTCTAAATCATGAAAAAAGACCAGACTTACTGGCCTGACAGAGACTGGAGAAATCCCAAGAGTACTGCCCCCGGACACCCTTTTAGCTCAGTTATGAAGTCACTCCTGAGGTTCACCCTCATCCAAAGGTTAGACAAGCCAATAAAACAAAACAAGACTAAAGGGGCATACCAGCCCAGGGGCAGGGACTAGAAGGCAGGAGGGGACAGGAAAGCTGGTAATGGGGAACCCAAGTTCGAGAAGGGAGACTGTTGACGTGTTATGGGGTTGTTAACCAATATTATAAAACAATATGTGTACTGTTTAATGAGAAGCTAGTTTGTTCTGTAAATCTTCATCTAAAGTACAATAAAAAAAATTACATCTTAAATGTAAAAAAAAAAAATTGGTTCAGTAAGACACACTTTTCTTCATAAGAGTTTTAAATCAATGTATATTCAACTAAATCATATAAAAGAAATGAGTATCAGGTATCCAGCTCGTTTTTAAAAGTTTAAAGATTAAAAGGGGCCCTAGTGGCACAGTGGTTAAGAGCTCGGGCTGCTAACCAAAAGGTGGGCAGTTCAAATCCACCAATTGCTCCTTAGAAACCCTATGGGGTAGTCCTACTCTGTCCTATAAGGTCGCTATGAGTCCGAATCAACTTGATGGCAACGAGTGAAAGATTAAAAATAAAAGTAGCATTTTAGAAAACTGGTCAAACATTTTATGTTTCAAAATACATTTTACCTATTTTTAAAAATTTGGTCTCTTCCATGACAAGCAAATTTATCAAAACACAAATAGAATATTTTTTAAAATCCAATGGAAGTCTATCAGTGGAATCTACACACAATAACGAAGCATATTTTATATGCTACAGATGATTTGAAGGGGCATTCAAGTCCCAACCTCCCTGACTACCGTATTTTTAGGCAAACATCACTGGCATTCTACATTTTTACGGTCAACAGCACCCTCCCCCCACCCACCCACAAGGTATTTTCATAAGTACGCTATGCTAATTTTTTTACATGTTGCTGTACAAAAATTAGCATAGGGTGCTTACAAAAATACGGGGGGGGGGTGGTTGGCAAAAAAAACGTAGAACGAACATGTTATTTGTGTAAAAGTACAGTACTTCTTTTCCCACTGCCCACAGGCTAGTTTCACAGACACTGATACTTTAAGTCATCTTCTCCTAACTGCATAAACGGCCTCTTTAAGAAGTAATTTACAGTTTGTTTCCAAAAATCATATAGCTCCATGTTTTTTTTTTTGTAGGAGTCACCTATGTTCTTACACAAAAGTGATTCTCAAGTTTTTTTCCCATCCCACACACTTGTGGGATATGAGACCCTTGGTAAAAGTTGTCCACTAGAGCAATGATTAGGGGTACAGGGTGGGAAGTTGGGGTGGAGCTCAGGCTGTATCTTATCTCTCACCACCATCCTGCCCTTGGTAAACTGGAAGTCACTGTTGTACAATATTTGGAGAGAGCTCTAAAGATACCACACTTCAGGAGAATACTATAATGTGGTCAATTTAAAATTTTGGGAAGAGTCACTAAAACAACATATTGGAATTTCATAAAGTTCTACTCAAACAGGTCCCAAAAGTTTGAATGCCAATTGCAAAATCTGTACGATTTTCTTCTAGCTTATAAGACTGAAAAAGTCATTATTTAGACTCTTCACTTAAAATTTTAGACATCGACTATAATGTTTACATTTTTCATGCTAACCAATTAGAAGATTTTTAACTCTTTCCAAATACAAAGTTATAACTATTGTTTTAGTTATAACTATTTTTATGTGAGGTACATAAAAATCAATATTAGATTCAGTATCCTTTTTCCCCATGCCAAACAAGCAAACAAAACAAAAGAAGTAGAATAATTAGTATGACACCTGAAAATCTCTGTATGGCAAGGCAAGAAAAATACATATTCAGGTGTACTCAATGCTTATCAAAGGTCCAATTCATTGCCCACAAAGTCTTCAATCTTTAAAAAACTCAATATCAGTTAACATTTTATTAGTCTTTAAGTTCAGAAGTAAAGTTTAAACTCTGGTTGTTCCCAATAAACGCGTACGGCACCAAGGAGAGCAGTTTTAGTAAAAAAAAAAAAACAACTTTAGCAAAGGGATACGCATTTAAAAGTCATACACACAAAAATCTAAATGTAACAAACCAGCACTTTATAAATAAATGTGTTTATTTGTTAAATGCATAAATACTTCTATCCAATATATATATTTTTTAATTTTATTAATAATGAACTACTTGCACAGTTCATTATATATTAATCAGTATTTAGATGTGTACAGTAACATGCTTTCTAAAAAGTTATGAATGTAAATAGGTTCGAATAACCAAGAATTCCACAAGGACCTTAAGCAAGCTATTTAGTGAAGAAAACAGCTTGTTCTTAAGACTGCATATGAGTCTATTATTGCAAATTATATATAACTCAGGATAACAACATTATCATTTAGTATACACTTGAAAACTGCTATAGAAAATATGGAAGTCTTGAGATGCTTTACCTTATATCTTCCCTGATCACAGCCACACAAAGTACTTTCCATGGTATAGCTTCTTTGTACTCCTATTTCCCTCCAGACTACAACTCGTGCTGTTGATTCTTTAGATTTTTCAACTACGAAGCTACAGCTGCTCATGCAAAATGCTGGGGCAATATGGCTCAGTATCTTAGGCAAAGTCTGTAAAAATAAGAATAAATCGAGGTTTTTTTGTTTTTCCGTTTTGAAAAATAACGTGATTAGAGCAGGGCCATGTGGATCTTCCTTCTACATCCTCTGCTACTCAAAACACTAAACCATTGTCTTGCTAATTTAGAATTTTCTGCTGGAAATAGCTGGAACTCTCCCAAATCATAGTTTGAAAATCAAACTGTAGCTTTAATTTCAAGAAAAGCACCGCAGAAATGTGAGCAAACAGACTTGTTAGCTATGTGGAGCTTATTATCTGGTATAAAGAAAAACATTATTAATCAAATAACACAAAAAACTAAAATTATAACTATTAAGTGATATAAAGGAGAGAAAATCTTGCAAAAGTGTAATCTGATTTCATTTCAGGAGGTTATATAAGTATTCCCGGAGGAGTAGTGACTGAACTATGACAAATAAGCAGAAATGGAATGGTGATGGTGGTGGTGGTGGTGGCGGTCCAGACAGAGAACAACACGCATAAATGTTCTTGGTGTCTGCTCTTTTGTCTAGCTTTCTCCTATTCTCTGGGACTCTCCCTTTCTTACACTGTTTGAGTCTAAACTAAATAGTCTCCATTTCTTTTCTGTATTGCTGAGCTCTGCTAATTTACTCTGTTTGCTTCATTTAATGTGGACTAACCTAGTAAGACTCAACTCCTGGAGATCATGAGGCAGTAACATGCTCAAATGTTGACACATTGGGCACTTCACACACATTGTTGGGCTCTGCCTTCACTTTTATTCTGGGCTTTGTCTCTCTCTTAAGTTTACTTTGCAAATGCCTTTCCCTTTTTTCACAGTACTCCTTTGTTTTGGTGAAGCATATCTTCCAGTAGCTCCCAGAGAAAGGCTATACGGAAGGTAAATTTCTTGAGACTTTCGAAGTCTGAAAACATCCTTTACTTTTCTTTAACCTTTTATTGTGCTTTGGGTGAAAGTTTACACAGTAGTTTTCCATTCGACAATTCATATACAAATTGTTCCATGACATTGGCTGCTGTCCCCACAATGTGTCAGCACTCTCCCCATTTCCACCCTGGCTTCCTTGTTTCCATCCCTCTAGTTTCCCTGCCCCTTTGCCTTCTCATCTTTGCTTTTGGGCAAACGTTGCCTGTTTGGTCTCGTATAGTTGATTGTTCTAAGGAGCACATTCCTCTCGGGTATTATTGTTTATTTTATAGGCCCAATCTTTTATTTGGCTGAAAAGTGACCTCCAGGAGTGGCTTCAGTTCCAGGTTAAAAGAGTGTCTTAGGCCAATAGTCTCAGGGGTTCCTCCCATCTCTATCATTCCAATAAATCTTGTCTTTTTTACAAATTAGAGTTTTGCTCTACATTTTTCTCCCATTCTAACCAGGACCTTCTATTATGTTCCTGGTCAGGGTGGTCAGTTGTGGTAGCTGGGCACCATCTAAATCTTCTGGTCTCAGGCCAGAGGAGGCTGTGGTTCATGCGAGCCATTAATCTTTTGGACTAATTGGTTCCTGGAGTCAGATTTCTTTCACTCTCCTTTGCTCCAGATGGGAAAAGATCAATAGTCATACCTTAGATGGCCACTCGCAAGCTTTTAAGACCCCAGATGCTACTCACCACATGAGGATGTAGAACATTATCTTTATGAATTATGTCATGCCAACTGACCTAGATGTCCCCCAAGACTATGGTCCTTAACCTTCAAGTCCAGGAACTCAGCCCCACGAGGTGTCTGGATATATCTAAGAAGTTCCCATAGCTGTGCCCCCATATGCTCTACTATATATACAAATATATACGCAGCACATACAAATATGTATATACAAATACCCATAACTATAGCCATATATGGGACCCTGGTGGTGCAATGGTTAAGAGCTTGGCTGCTAACCAAAAGGTCAGCAGTTTGCATCCACTAGCTGCTCCATGCAAAACCCTACGGGGCAGCTGTACTCTGTTCTATATGATTGCTATCAGCTGGAATAGACTCCACAGCAATGGGGTTTCAGGTGGCACAGTGGTTAAGTGTTTGGCTGCAAACCAAAAGGTCAGCAGTTCGAACCTACCAGCTGCTCCTGAAACCCTATGGGGGCAGTTCTATTCTGTCCTATAGGGTCATGAGTCGTGATCGACTCAACGGCAAGGGGGTTCATACCCATATATGCACTCAAATGCCCTCCCATATGCCCTCTGCCATCTATTTAGCATACATAGCTACCTATGTAATCATTCACAAATTTTTGGCTATTACTTTTGTTGCAGAATTGTATATGATACAGTTGTCCTTTAGTCTTGTGTACCTCTCAGTGTCTTCATTTGCCTTGGTCACATTGTGCTGACTTCCCCCATATTGCATATTGCCTTTCCCTTCACCAGAATTAACACGTCTACTATCTACTAAGAGATTCTCCTTCCCTCCCCCTCTCTTCCCAGGTAACCATCAAAGAATGTTCCTTTCTGTGTGTAAGGCTATTCTTAACTTTTTATAAAAGTGGTATCATACAGTATTTGTCCTTTCGTGATTGACTTATTGCACTCAACATAATGTCCTCTAGATTCATTCATGTTGTAAGATGTTTCATGGACTCATCATTACTCGTAATCATTGCATACTATTCCATTATATGTATGTACCACAATTTATTTATCCATTCATCTGATGTTGGGACACTCAGGTTGTTTCCATCTTTTTGTTATTGTGAATAATGCTGCAATGAAGATGGGTGTGCATATGCCTATTTGTGTTACTGCTCTTATTTCTCTAGGATAGGTACCTAATAGTGGGACTGTTGGATCATACGTTATTTCTATTTCTAGGTCTCTGAGGAAGTGCCATACCATTTTCCATAGTGGTTGTACCATTTTACAATCCCACCAGTAGCGTATAAGTGTTCCAATCTCTGCACAACCTCGCCAGCATTTTCGTTTTCTGTTTTTCTGATCAGTGTCATTTTTGCAGAGGTGAGATGATATCTCATTGCAGTTTTGATTTGCATCTCTCTAATGGCCAATGAGGAGCACTGGTTAAACAGCTCGGCTGTTAACCGAAAGGTCAGGAGTTTGAACCCACTAGCCACTCTATGGGAGAAAGATGTGGCAGTCTGCTTCCGTAAAGATTTACAGCCTTGGAAACATATGGGCAGTTTTACTTGTCCTATAGGGTTGCTATGAGTCTGAATTGACGCGACGGCACTGGGTCTGGTTTGGTTTTGATTTAATGGCTAATGATCACAAACATCTCTTAATGTGTTTGTTAGTTGCCTGAACGTCCCCTTTGATGAAGTGTCTGTTCATGTCTTTTGCCCTTTTGACTGTATTGTTTGTTTTTCTGTTGCTGAAGTGCTGAAGCTTTCTATAGCTTAGAGATTAGACCCTTGTCAGATATGTCATTGCCAAATTATTTTCCCCAGTCTATAGGCTCTCTTTTTACTCTTTTGGTGAAGTCTTTTGATGAGCATATGTATTTCATTTTTAGGAGGTCCCAGTTATCTAGCTTATCTTCTGTTGTTTGGGCATTTTAGTTATGTTTGTCTACTTATGCTATAAATTAGGACCCTTAGCTTTGTTCCTACCAGGTATTTTATAGTTTTAGGTTCATCACTTAGGTCTTTGATCCATTTTTAGTTAGTTTTTGTGCATGGTGTGAGGTATGGATCCTGTTTCATTTTTTCTGCAAATGGATGTCCAATTTTGCCAGCACCATTTGTTAAAGACTATTTTTCCTCATTGAATGGACTTCAATCCTTTGTTGAAGATCATCTGTCCACAGGTGGATGGATTTACTTCTGGGTTCTCAATTCTGTTTCATTGGTCTATGTGACTGTTGTTGAACCAGCACCAGGGTTGTTTTGACCACCATGGGTGTATGTATAGTAAGTTCTGAGATCGAGAAATGTGAGGTCTCCTACTTTGTTCTTCAGTAATGCTTTAGCTATTTGGGGCCTCTATCCTTTTCATATACAGTTGGAGATTAGTTTTTCCATTTCGTTAAAGAATGTTGTTGGGATTTGGATCAGGATTGCACCACATTTATAGATCGCTTTGGGTAGTATTGACATTTTCACAATGTTAACTCTTCCAATCTGTGAGTATAGGATGTTTTTCCATTTAAGTAGGTCTCTTTAGGATTCTTGCAGTAGTGTTTTCTAGTTTTCTTTGTATAAGTCTTTTATGTACCTAGTTAGATTTATTCCTAGGTATTTTATCCTTTTGAGGGCTATCGTAAATGGTATTGTCTTCTTTCCTTTTCAGAGTTCTCCCTGTTAGTGTAAAGGAATCCAACTGATTTTTGCATGCTGATCTTATACCCTGCCACTTTGCTATTACTTCCAGTAACTTTCTTGTGGTGTCTCTGGGATTTTCTATGCATAGGATCATGTTGTCTATGAATAAGGATAGTTTGAATTCTTCCTTACCAATTTGGGTGCCCTTTATTTCCCTTTCTTACCTTATTGCTGTGGCTAGGGCTTCCAGTACAATATTGAATAGGAGTGGTGTCATGGTTTGCATTATGTCCCCCAAAAAACGTGTGTATCAATTTGGCTAGGCCATGATTCCTGGTACTATGCAATTTTCCTGTATGTTGTAAACCTGCCTCTATGATGTTAATGAGGGAGAATGGGTGGCAGTTGTGTTAGTAAGGCAGGACCTGATCTACAAGACTGGATTGTGTCCTGAGGCAATCTCTTGAGATATAAAAGACAGAAGTGAACAGTGAGACAGGGGGGACCTCACACCATCAAGAAAGCAGTTCCAGGGGCAGAGCACGTCCTTTGAACTGGGGTCCCTGCACAAAGTAGCTCCTAGTCCGGAGGAACATTGATGAGAAGGCCAACAGAGAAAGACTTCCCCCTGGAGCTGACAGCCTGAGTTTGGACTTTTAGCCTACTTTGACTATGAGGAAATAAACTTCTCTTCATTAAAACCATCCACTTGTGGTATTTCTGTTGTAGCAGCACTAGATAACTAAGACAAGTGTTGATAATAGTCATCCTTGTCTAGCTCCTGTTCTCAAGAGG